GTAGTAGTAGTACTTGTACAAGTCGCAGTGGTAGCAGCATTAGCATTTTGACAAGTAACAATAGCAGCAGTAATATTAGTCATAGTAGTAACTGTAGTACAGTTACTAAATGTACTTGCAGTAGTATTTGGACCAGTAACAATCATAGCAGTAATAGTAGTATTTTTGGGCTGGCTACTACCGATGGTAGTAGTAGGGTCAGAACAAGTAGTGGCAGTACTATTAATAGTTGTGGTCAGGTCAGTACAAGCAGTAGCAGCGGTAATATTATATGGACAAGTAATAGTAGCAAAAGTAATAGTAGCAAAAGTAATAGTAGTCATAGTCGTAACTGCAGTAGGGTCAGTACAAGTAGTAGCAGTAGTATTTGGACTAGTAATGATAGTAGCAGTAATGGTAGTACTATCAATAGTTGTAGTAAGATTAGCACTAGTAGTAGCAGTGGTACTATTTATATTTGTAGAGGATAATGAATGGATGGAAGGTTGGTGCAAGTAGAAGCAGCACTAGCAGTATCAGTAATGTGTACTTATACACATGTATTGAGTCTTAATGGAGGAAAGTTGAGAACAACGTTGCATCCAGACAGAAATCAGCTCTTTGTGTCACGTTCGGGAAGCACTCAGCAGTAACACACACACACACACACACACTGACTGCACAGAGGGCTTCCTGCTACCCACTTCCCCGTGTTGGAAACCATTTGCATGCTCTGTCACATCACGAAAATTTAAACTGACCATTTGCATACAGGCCTGTTTCATTGACGCACTTGTGTGGCACCCAACTTCAGTCACACGTGAGTAAAAGCCACTGGTACAGATATCAGTCAGTGGTGACATACTACTGTGTTGTGCAGATTCTTTATATGACACACAAGCGTGTGAGACGTCTACATCCACCTATCCACTGAGGAAGACTATGAGATGAAGCTGAAAGTTCAGAAGAGCTGGTGAGTAGATCATTGAGCTTATTGTGTTTCGATAGTGTTGCCGAAAGTTTAATGTGAAAAACTGCTGATGCAAAGAAAATGTACGTGTGAACACACTGTACATATACAAGATATACTGACATGCTGTATACATATTAAAGTTATAGATAAAATAATATTGGTGTTTTACAGGTGAACATTATACATGTAAAAATATATACACATTGTATATATAGAGTATACATACTAAATATTGTATACTGTATACACAGAAACAGTTAATAAAGAATGTTTAGTATGTAAAAATGTGTACCCATGTTGTCATTGTACATAAGGAAAATATACTTTAAAAGAA